GGCCGTCACTCCGGGCATCCGCGCGCCGAGGGGGCGGGGCTTGTGTAAGGGGGCGCGGGCTTGTCTCACTGTGTTGTGGGCGGGGCTTACGGGGGGCGTGGCCTCGTGGCGCGAGCGGGGCGTGGCGGGGGCGGAGCTTCCCCCTCAGGGCGGCCGCGTCCCGGCGCTGGGATCGCCCGGGCATCCCGCGGGTCTGCGAATCCCTCAGATCCATGGATCCTGTGGAGCCTCGTGGGTCCCTGGGGTCTGTGAGTCTCTCGGAGCCCTGTGTATCCCGCGGAACTCCGTGGGTCCCTCGGATCCATGGATCCCTCAGAATCCCTTGGGGCCCCCCTGAAGCCTTCGGGTCTGGAAATCTCTTGGAGCCCCCTGGATCCTTCGGATCTGTGGATCCCTGGGGGTCTTTGGATCCCTCGAGTCCCACGGGTCCATGGATTCCTCAGATCCATGGATCTTTGGAACCTCATGGATCCCTCAGGTCTGTGGGTCCTTCGGAGCTCCATGGGTCCCTCAGATCTGTGGATCCCTCGGAGCTGTGGATTCCTCATGTTTGTGGATCGCTCGGATCTGTGCATCCCTTGGAGTCCCGTGGGTCCCTCATGTCCATGGGTCCCTCGTGTCCGTAGATCCCGTGGGCCTGTGGATCCTTCGGAACTCTGTGGGTCCCTCAGAACCCCCTGAATCCCTTGGGTCTGTAAATCCCTTGGAGCCCCCTGGATTCCTCGGAGCCACGTGGATCCCTTATGTCCATGGGCCACTCCGGTCTGTGGGTCCCTCAGGTCCACGGATCCCTCAGATCCATGGATCCCTTGGAGCCTCGTGGGGCCCTGGAGTCTGTAGGGTCTCTGCAAGCCCCACAGATCCCTTTGGAACCCTTGGTGTCCGGCAGGGAGACATCCCCCTTTGCGGGGCAGCCCCCGTGGCCACCCCTCCTTAGTAACCTGATATCAATGGAATTAATCAAAAACATATGCAAAAATATGTGGGTTTGTATTTTTTATTTAATCTCACCAACGGCATTTCCCCTTCCTCGATGTATATTGATTTTCGTTATGTCCCTGGCTAAGGGTTCTAGCAGGAAATCAGCCCAGATCCCAAACGTCGTTTGCCCAACATGTAAAGGATGCAGAACCCCAGAACAAAACAATTATCTTTTATGTTGGATTGATTAGGGCTTCTGGGCGGTTCTGCAGTCAAATAACAAAAATAATAGCAACTGGAGCTCGGGGATACTGTATTGAGGGATATTGTTAGCGAGGCACAAATAGGCATTTTTTTCTCCTTACATCCCTCAGTCCGATTGGCTGAGGGGGGTGATTTGCATAATCACTCTGATTTTATTTCTCAGTAATCGTACAATACACAAACCCCTTAACTCCGGATGGTTGATAGCTTTTATTACTCAATCAGGGTACAATGATTTGCATAATCACCGCGCTCTGATTGTTATTAGACCCATTCACTGCGACAGAAATCATAACTTTGTGCTTACTGTGGTGGATTTCTGATCTGGGCAGATTATTCACCTTTTATCAATATTACATCTCCATGTTAAGACCCACTCACCAGCAAATGTGAGATGATCTGATAACGTAATTAAGTACTGGGAGCGTATAATCAATAGATGCTCAGACACCACCTGGACAAACCCACACCTCAGCTGCTTCTTGTCTTCATCTTTCCTTTCCAGAACACTCACTTTGGTACAGTCAGTGGCATAATATTATGCATCTCAATAATCGCCACAATTAAATACCATCACATTTTAATAAATGGAACCGAAGGCAAGAGAGAGCACCCTATCATCAGAGCTGTAGCGTATTTTGTTACTAATTTACCCCCAACATTAAGTACTATGAAATAAGAAAGGTAGAACAGGGAACAAAAATCAAATACATCCATCAGAGTTTTGTCATCTGGTCAAAAGCATTTGTCACTTCAGCCTCAAAGAGGAATATAATCTCCATTCAGGTAAGCGAATAAAACCCATTGCACTTCCAGTAAGATCAATATTATTTAAGCATACAATGGCATTTTCAGCTGTATGAAAGCTCAAATTATTCCCATAATCTGGCAATTCAGAGTCTGCAAACTCTTATATGTGTGATTAAATTCACATATGTCAGCAGCTAGTGGGGATACTCGAGTGTACTGGCACTTGCAAGCTCAAAAATTCCAAACTAACTTCTTTATTTCCCATCTAGATTTCAAAATTTGGTGTAACTGCAAAGCTCCTAATAACTCTCCATGATACCATTTTTAATGGAGCCACTTCTAGGTGCCCAGGGCTCCCCAAAATTTGACAAAAATCAGGGGGTTTCATCATTCAAACCATCTTTTTCCACCCATAAATACTAAAATAAAGGCTGATCTTGACTTTTACCAAGCTCCATACATGTCAATATTGGGCTGAAAAGGTTTCATCCCAGAGGCCATCACCATTTTTTAAGAAGTTGTGAGTGGTGGCATACAATGCTCTCACTAATAAAGCTGTCTTTTGTTCTCAGGTACAACTTAGGGCATTATGGCAGTAATTCTATAATTAAATACAGATAAATTAGGGGGAGGGGGGGATGTCACTAAGAGGCTGTCTAATAACCACCATCATCAAGTTGCATTTCCTGGGCTACCTCCTTGCAGTATCCAACCTATAAATAATTGCTAACCTCAGTGAAGAGCTAATGCTTAGAACTACAGCACTGAAAAAAAAAAAAAAAAAAGAGGTTTTTACAATAACTGTACAAGTTATGGCTTAGTATTTTTACCCATAATTAAGATGTATTTCCAAACAGGAGCTGCTGTCAAGCTTACATAAACTTGACGAGATTTTCCCCTCTGTAAAATCCATCATGGCAACTTAACAACCACAGAGTCTTATCTCTGAATCATCATGTTACGTGGTTGAAGGGAAAAACAGATGAAGTCGCTTTCCTTAAAAGGAAAGGGTTTTTCCCCTCTCCCCCCCCTTTATTAAGGTGCAGTAAATTCCTGTGGTGTCATCTGCAGGGTGCATTCAATCACCATCAAGGAGATTTTTAAACTTCAGTCTGGTGAAGTATTGTGAAGACCTTGTGAAGAACATTCAACATCATCAGACAGAGCACATCTCACTGGGTCTCACAGAGAACTGGGCCTGTTGCTTGTGAGCTTTCAGAATTACATGGTTCATACCTGGTGAGCAAATAGGCCAGAGGAAGACTTGCCATGGCTTCAGCCCTTGCCACCACCATCCTCTGAGTTTATTTTCTGAAACAGCTTTAGGTATTTAGATGTCCTTCTTTAGATATTTTGAATACCCAGACATAGTCAGTAAGAGCTTTTCTGAGATGCAGGAAAGGCTGGAAATCAGCCTAAACCATCCCAAGCCGAAAGTGAAGAAATGTGTTTTGTTGGAGGTAACTTTCTTACCAACTTCTACCCTAACTCCATTAACCAAAAAAACCTGTGCATGTGAAAAATTTAGGTTCTGTGGCTCAGTCAGGTGCTATAAATAAATCCCGTTGCTACATTTCACAGTGAAACTAAAGCCTTTGTCAACCCTTACTCATCGCACCTATAGCACTGTCAAACTGCTGTAAAGGTTAATGATGCATCCGACTGATGCAACACATCTCTTGGAAGCACAAACTGAGTAGCTGATTTAATGTCCAGACGATGGTTTTAACCACCAAAGCTGGGAATACAACAAGATTTTGTGCCTTTGAGAGAACGTGTGTCTGGTTCTCACCCTTCAGCAGCTACGCACAGGAAAGGTCCTTGTCTTGTCCATGACTCACGGATCATCTCTGCCCTTGCTTGTTTGGGAAGTGAGGAGCTGCCCCCTTCAAAATCCTTAAAGATTGACTCTGTGGCATTACCACCTTCTATGATTATTGGCACTGTTTGTGTTGTGTTTTCGCTGGAATACACCAGTCCAGAACCAAATCCTGTGAATGCTCGGTACTAGATATTTTACAGAGGTGACAGGTGTCAGAATTTTCCAGTCCATGTCTCAGCCGGAAGGCAGTGGATATCAAAAGCAGACTAACATGGGGAGCAGGGAGGCAAGGAAACAAACAGACTTTGGCAGAGAGTTAAAAGTCTGTGGTTAGCCCA